CTGTTATGGAAAACAGATTTATGCAAATTATAATGACAAATTCCGAACAAGATTCTATTGAAGGTGGATTTGCTTTAAGTACATACAAGGTCTATGACATGAGTTTGAAAAACTTTCAGATAAATATTGGAAGCCTACTTTTATCGAGAAATGTTCCAAGTTCCGAAATCTGAATTTACATAAGGAATTAAAAATTATAACTAACATTATCATTGTCTGTTGTTAATAATACTTATTTTTATTGTAATTTGATTATATAGCACTCTAACCTAAGAGTATCCCAGCGAAAAGTGTAGCTAAGCCGTTTTAGAAATAAAAACACTATTAGTATTTATTGTGTGTACATTAGTGTTATATTTATGAAATAATATAATTATTTTGAACATTTAGAATATAGAATTTGAAAAATATTCATATAAAAACAATAATTAAATTAAAATAACTATTTTTTCATATTATTATCAGTATCCTTATATTATTATTGTAATTATTATTATAATCATTATTATTATTAATATTATACAAAACTTAATAATAATTATTATTACTATGTTATTATTAGGAAATTCATTTATATACTGTCAGTATTTTGGTGTTACCTTTTTCATTAAATAAACATGCTCTATAATGGACCTACCATGACTAATTCCAAAAAAAAACACAATACAAAAACAATATTTAAACAGATGGTCAATAAGATATTGTGGTAAACCCACAAGAAAGAAAAAGTAAACCCACAAACGAGATGTCCAATCCTACATAAAATCGTCTGTTAAAATGAAAGAAAGGTGTTATAATTTTCTTTTAGAGCAGGTATGAGTCACCGTAGTACAACAATAACACCTGAGATTTGTAAGTACATTACCTCTGTCCTTCCTTCCTCACGTACTTCCTTTCTTTTTCTTTCTATTGTTTTATCTTCCATTTTACTTGTCCTCACTTCCTTCCTATCTTTTGTATTCTGTCATCACTCTTAACCTCGCTATTGTTTATAAAGATGTTTTTTCCTTTTCTTATTGACTTCTCAAATCATTCCTTTTCTGCCATCATGTTATCTTTTGATAGTTTGACCTTAGTGGCTATTTTATTTACTTATTGTTGTGGGGACTATTCATTCTTTTTCATTACAGTAATTAATTACACTTTTTCATCTTGTTGGGTGTGGACTTCCCTTGTAAAGTTCATCTGTTTTGTTAGAAAATCGTGCAAGCACAACCAATTATATGACAGGTGAATATACACTGTATAATAGAAACACTGGTGGCACAAACAGGGGGAAGGGCTTAAGAAACCCCCTCCCCCAAACTCCTGTTGTCTTCAAATCTTCAGAATGAAAAAATCTTTGGGCATTATCTTCAAAAACATTGTAGAACATTTTAAAATGGTAAAAATCACTCACTTTTTAGGTGTATCATTCAATAATTTATGTATTAATTTACATATTCATTATTTCATATATTATTGTGTTTTAATACTTATTTTTATTGAGATATTTCCAATTCCATGCTGATCAAAAATTTTACTTAATATTTTAATTGAAGACAAAATGATAAAGAGTTATACATGTAGCATAGTTATTAATTTACATATTCATCAATTTATACATTTTTTCCCTTTAAGTTCATGTATTTTTTGTTTAGGGAGTGCTGAAATAAATTTGAAATTCTTTCATTACCAAACTTCCCACCCCCACAATCACAAACAGTGGTGACACCATACTGGATGAAGGGAGCTAAGTCTTGTGAGAGGACTATCTCACAGTTGGCCACTGTTCATTGGACCAAAAATGTTTCTCTAGGTACAAAGGGAATAACTTGGACCACCACCAGATCTTTGTTTCTGAACCCAGAACCCAATGACATCTGACACTAGATATTGTCAAACACACCTGTCAGACAGTTTATAATCCCCACCCCTCCCCCACCCCCCAGCACTCCCACTCAATCCATCATAAAATTCAAGTATGGTGAATTATTTTGAAATGGACAAAGATTATCATCCGGTGCTAATTACATGTATGCTATATGACAGAAATGCTTGATTAGATCTTCAATTTAAAAAGGATGTTTTAAAATCAAACTGAATCTATTTAGACAAAAGGAAATTTAGGGCGAAGGTGAATGAGTGATAGATAAACAAAACACATAATAAATACATATTAAATACGTACAAAAGAAGATTTTTTTTTTTTCACAAGTTCTCCGGTTTGATTCCTGGTTGGGACAACTTTTGTTTCGCTTTTGTTATAATATATATGTTATAACTTTATAATTTTGAGGTGATGAAAAAGTTATAACATTTAATTTATGGCTCAGATGTTATTGTCATGATACACCTTTTAAAAAATAAAAATAAGAACACATTTTATAAGAACACTGAGGCTGAAATTGTTTAAAAATTAAGAACAAAATACTGTAAGAACAAATTGAGGCTAAGGTAAAATGTCAAATGAAATTTTTATTTTTTTAAATATAGAAAAACTATTTAAAACAATATATCTGTACTTTATGTGCAGTGGGGGTGACTTTCATGATACCCTCTATACAGAGTGCAGTAATTATACTGCTGTAGAATAATTTTTATGTTTGGAAAGTGTGGAATAGGAACATAAGAACATATTGAGCCTTAAATACCATTTTGCCTTTTATTCCTCGAAATTGAAACATAAAACAGAAATGGGGAATCTGAGAACAGTAAAATTCCAATTGGTAACAAATTCTACAAATATTTGCCTTTCTGTTGGGAAAGTCTAACCAGAACATCAACTCTTTGTGGTCGGAGGAAACAACATTAGTTTTTCACTAATCACTAGGTGGTCTGAATGAACACTGACCTAGCTATGACCTCAGCACATTGCTTAAATCTATGTTTTGCACAACCAAAAAAAAAGGGCCTTGCATGTCTTAATTTGTGTAAATACTGGTGGTAAATAGCACCCTCTTACATATGTCAATTTCTCTTTATCTATCTCTATTGTTGCACAGTAAAGGAGATTTATCATTTCATTTGTGATAATGTACTCCAGAGTATTTACCTCATGTGATAATTTTTGTAACTGTCGTAGGTGATCAGATTTTTTATTAATTGCTTACGTTAACTGTTGTTAACAAGGCACAGGGGTGTTGTACTTACAATGGGGGTTGAAACATATGTCTGAAGATATCAAAATGTCTTCGCTTATTCTGAGGGATTATATTTTTGATTTACTGAGATCATTACAACTAAAAAATACTTTAATATTTTAGATTTTCTCAGCCAAATGGTTTTGTATTGTTTGGTATATCTTTTTTTCAAACAATTTATTTAAATTCTGTTTCATTATATTCAACTATAAAAGTCTAATAAATAATAACATGGCTTAGGTTATAAAGCATTTATTGGATCCTGCATATAATTAATATTTAAAGTTACACCCAGAAACTGTTTTCTTTGCTGGCCTATAATTTGTTCAGTGGTTGATCAAAGCAATTATAGAGGGGTCCAGGGAGGAAATTCATATATATCACTTAGCATTAACCGCTTGGATACACCTTATCTTGCGGGGTTTGGCTTTCATTGTGTCTGTTGTATATATTTTTACATTTACCTATTTGCCTTGTGAAATAGAGGGGCCTACAGAAGAATTTTACTGATGTATAGCTCCACAACTTGAAATGAGTCTAAAAATAGTTCCATGAATACTGTACTAATAAACTGTATTGACAACATTTAGTAAATAATAAGCATAACAATTTTAGAATACAACATTTAGTTCCAATAAATGTGTAGAGAGATAGAAATTATGACTTTCATAAATGAACCCAACAACAATAAAAATATGAATAAATCAGATAATTTTTATCAATTTTAATTTAAATTATTATTTTATTTCTTTAAGACAGTATACTATGTTTTTTAGTTGTCAAAGTAATTGCATGAAATGTTGTTCCAATCCCAGACTATAAATTATAAAATTATAATTTTTCATTTGCAGTAATTACTAAAGTATTGGTTGTCCAGACGTGGCAACTGGACATATTTCTTCCTCCAGACACATTACGTTTTGCGTTACCTTCAGTATCACTTCAGCCCCACCATGGTTAGGCCTGAATTACAACAATTCATGTACACTATATAACACCTCTACATGGCCGGAAATGGCACTCTCCGACTTATATTTAAATAGTCTTTCTTTTTTCGAATTTTCATGAACTTAGGGGAGGGGGATCACTGGGTCACCGTCAATCTACCTCTGCTGTTATAATTATAAGAACTGTAATATAATAGTAATAGGCTAATAATAGTAGGAACAATATACTAATGAAAAACGTTTTATATTAACATACTTTCTATTATTTTCTAACGAATCAATATCTTTTTTCACATATTCTAAACAAACATATATTAGATGTCATTGACCTCTTATTAGACATTTTTTTTCCTATTGCACAAAAGAAATCATACCACCTACACCAAGTCACTACCACATCATTTAAGACAGTCTCAGTACCCAGCAATGCTTGAAAGTTAATAATATACTGTGTGATGACAATATTGAACTGTTTGTAGTCATTCTATATTATCACTTCCGAGAATTTCCTCATGGATGACGCCATCCCACATCCTGAAAATACTGTGATGTCACAGCCAATTGACCAATCACATCAGCGGAGTTGTTGAGGCATGGTGTTGATGAAGGTTACTAGTGAATACCAGATCCATTTGAACTTCAGATGCACTCTCCTCTGATATCAGGTGAAGCTATACAAATCATCTTTCAACTGAAGTCACATCAACATTTATTTCATGTGTAATTTATTGAGCAATATGTTGCTATATGGTGTCATAGGTCAATGCTTATGTTGTGATTAAATTCAACATAATTTTATGGCATGCTTATTTTTGCATGTTTTTGAGATTATCATATTGTTTCATTGTTGTATTGCATGCCAACCCTTATGTGCTAAGAAGGATACAAATGCAGGTTAAACTATGTATGGGTCAAGGGTGACATAATTAGAATCTTTATCAATTATCACCACTTATGGATCCGCATTATAACAATTACAAAATCCTTTTAATTTATGAATTGATTCTAAAAAAAGCACACATGACCCTATGACGTTTTCTCTTTAATTGGGAGCACCACTGCCAATATTGTAATATACTGTGCAAAAATATTACCAACACTACCATCATTATCACCATCCTCATCATATTTATCAGTGTCACCATCATCACCCCCTTCGTCACCAGAAAATAGTACAAACATTGTTCATTTCCCGGTCTCATTTAGTGTATAGTTTCATGCTCTTGCAAAGATTATGAAAAAAATATATATATGGTCTTTAACAACTATGGAAATGAATAATTAAAATACTTTTTAATGGTTATCTTGTTGTGGTTTACTAATCAGATTTTTATTTATTTTTCCTTTGAATGGACCACCATCTAGATGGGTGTCATTGTAACAAAAATGATTCCAACTTAAAACTAATTAAACTAAAAGACCATAAAACTCCTATCATCTTCATGTACTGCTGGTTTACAGCAATAGAGTACTACTATACAGTGTTACGTCATGATACCATGTAATACTACTCCGTTGCTATCGGCGAAACAAAATGCATTCACCCGACGCCATTTTCTCCACTGACAAACCATTGATCCCAATTTCTAACGTAATTATTAAGAAGTTGTATCTTAATTTTTTCTCTGTAAATGTTAATTGATGAAATGTGTGTTCGATAACTAATATAATGCAAGCTTTTTATGTGTTTTTAGTCAAAAAAGATCGTAAGGTCACCATTTATACTGTTGTCGAATGATAAGAAGTATCACTGAAGGGCAATAAAGTAGATGTATTGACATTAAAATGGTTTGTGATGAAATATAGGAAAACCTTAATAAAATCTGAATACTGAAGTGTGTAAAATGATCAAATAAGTCATCAATTTTCATTGATTGGAGCAATTCAGTGATAATATTGACTTTTTTACTACAAAAATCTTTCAACATATTCGAGCCAATATGAGTTATGCTAAGTCTTGTTAAAAACTATAATATTTCTTCCTTTGTTAAAAAAAATAAATAAAAACAAACAAAAAATTGACAGGAAACAATTTTCTTAACAATTTTATTAAAGGTTTAAAAATAAACCAAAAAGCATTTTACTTTTGAAGTTTATTAGTGCAGCACAAACATGGTATCTTAAAAATAATTAAAAAAAAAATTAGATTTATTAGTTATTGAACACAAAAATTGGTGTACTTTATTACCAAATTAATAGTCACCACAGTTCAAATAGTTTTACTTGGAAGCCATAAAAAATATCATTAACTGTTTTTGTTCTAAACTTTCACCAACATAGGAGGAACAATTTTGTCCACAACTTCCTTTCCTTTCAAAGCCTCTACTATGCACAAAGCAAATTCAAAAGCCGTACCAGGCCCACGGCTGGTTATTATCTGACCGTCACGGACCACACGTTCTTCCAAATATGTATACATCCCTGCAAATGATGATAATAATAATAATAATAATAATAATGATAATAATAATAATTAAAATACTTAATCATAGCAGTAGCATACAGTATGTCCTAAGTTACAAAATTTAAATGCGACATGTGATGAATGAAAAAACAGAAAACATCATTTCCACATAGGTAAGTGAATCACAGTCTGGAATATGTCTCCTATTCAATTTCTGATAGAATTAATTGACTGGCATAAATGATTTGAATAGATCATTCATGAATGGAGGACAGAGAGGAGAAATGTATGAAATGGAGAAAAGATGGGGAGAATTGGAAAAAGAAAGGGAAAAAAAAGATGGTGAGGAGGATGGGGAGGACAAAAGATTGACTTAAGGATGGGGAAGAATATTGAATCAGATTTATTTGGTGTAAATGCAAAGGATAATCCAGAAAAGTTAGTAGACTTTTTTTGCAGTGGGGTCCTTCTGGTGGTGATTGAGTAGTACATTAGCAGAAAGTCCCCAACTGTTCTCCAAAGACTCGTATTCTGCGTCCTTGAACATGATCATGGACCATACAGGACCAACGGCTTTAATGTACCTCCTAAAAGACGGTGCGCTTTCTTAAACTTTCATTTCAGCCCTCCAACTGAAACACAAGGAGAGCAGTGGATGGCAAAAACCAGACCATACGCTGACCCCCACCCCACCCTAAGTGTTCCCCTGTTGAATATCAAAACATACCTGATGCAGCGAGTTCCTTAGACACAGCAGGATGTGAGGTCAATTTCTTTCCGTTCCCAATTCCATGACTCATTAGCGCAGTGGGAGCTGGGATAGAAAGACCAAAGAAGGATAACAATTAAAGCTTTGTAAAATTTTGTATATTTTCTATAAATTTTGTAAAATAAACTTCACTATTATCTCTACCATATGTAATTCATTGACAGTTGTACAATAAATAATTGATCAAACCACTTACAATATATATGTTGTGTATCTTAAAAACAAAATTAATCCATTTTTAAGAATTGCTATTTTTTCACCACATGTACGTCAGTACTATAAACAATTTACCAGATATCCACAATTCTTAAGCTGTGTTTCCACAGTGCTTATCACCAGATAAATTCTCTGCAAGTAGTAATTTTGCAAATTTTCACTCAGGAAACAGGTCCCAGAATTATATACAAAATCATGCCATGATATTTTATCGGTAAACACCAAATTCGGAAAAACTTAGCACCTGACCGAAGTAAGAATTGAAGGGTGACAAAAAAAAAACCATGATTCAAAAACAACAAACATTGCATATAATTTGGAAAAAATGATGTTGTACACTTTAGGCAAAATAAAGCAACACATTAAAAAGTAATTGAAAATGACTATTTGGTGGTGCAAAGCAACGACACCACCTGCACAAGACTTTGAAACATATGTCCCTTTATGTATCGTACCATAAAGTATGCCAAACAAGGCTTCTTTCTAGTGTTCTTTTTCTTTACTCAGTCTTACATAAATACATGCATATACACTGACAAATTATCTTGACAATATACCTTTCCTAAAGAATGCTAAATATAGGTACAAGACTTCTTGCTCATAGACCCTAGAACAACTTCGATTTCACAATTAAAAAACATAGACAACAACAAAGTATATAAATAATAAAATACAATAACATTGTAATGTATTTATAAAAATTACAATTTTATATAGAATTATATTGCAATTAAAAAAAAGAAAATAAATAACATTTTAATTTACTTTTAGTATAATGGTACTCTGTCCTATCTTTCAATGGAAAACATAGAATTTTATCTCAAAAATATAATTTTTCAATACACCTACAGCTGATTATTTTAATTGAGAGCTAATTTAATTTTAAAACCTTTTTATTCAACATTGAAAACCATTTACAAGGTAGATGATCTTTATAAGTATTTTTAGAATTTTTAAATTTGAAATATTTTATAACAATATTACTTTTAATAATTTCCTTGTATGAACTACTACTGTACCTCCATGCCATAAAATACTTGCATTAGAAATTACAACTATTATGACATCAAAATCAATATTAACATTTCTTATCTGAAAAGTAAAATAAGAAATTCATGTAAAAATACACTGATAAACAACTGAATGACAGAGGCAGAATTCAAGATTTAAAAATAACATGCAAGACTGACATTGAAATTTATTTTTGAAATATTTCCAGGAAATATTGACAACTAGGCCTACTTAGTTATGAATATTTATATCATAATAATTGGAAACCTATGTGTTCTATTTGGAACATATTTTTGGCACTATATTAAGAATTAACTCAAATGATTATTCTTGAAATCTTTCCAGTTCTGAATATGTTTCTGATTATACGCATTAAGGCCAAGTACAAAAAATATTATAGCATACATCCATTTAAACAAGAAGAGAAATAGAACAAAGGAATCATATTAAAATAAACTACATATAATGTTGAATTTCAATTACGTAATACAATGGACTAAGTCAAGTTTTAGGTAGATGAGGTGATATTATATTAGGCTTTAAAAATAATTATTAGTTTAACACCCTATCTAAGCTGGAAAAGTGATGAGGGAGAGAGGCATTTTATTTTATATTTTGCTAAAGCCAAATATCACCCTTGGGTTGTTTGCTGGTGCATTGATATTCGAAGTATATACTACAAAAAATATCTACTATTTAATTAAAAAAATAATTACATTGTTTTTTCTTCAAAAACATATCTTTTTTTCAGTACCAGAGAAGACATGTGTGCGAGGGTGATAAACTGATATTTTTTTTTATTGGGCCTTAAGTACAAACAAAATTAAGTAGAAGTTTTAGAGGAAACACACAATGATCAAGTCATGAAAGCAGTTGGTTCAATGATTGTGGATCGAACTCTAAACCTTGAGGTCGGTGGTTGGAAACCCTTGCTGTGCAAGTCGCTTGTGTCGAGATGGGAACTCCGCCCTGTGAGCCCAGAGCTTCAGGATTTGACCTTTACCTATGCTCACGAAGAGAGTGTGTTCTTTTGGTCAAAATGTGTCGATCCTATTCAAGAAACAAAGCTCAAACAAAGTTGTTGGTGGCACTAGGCTTGCTTGGTATGTTGCTTATATTATGAAGCAGTAAATGCCTTTTTCCACTTTTAATCACACAAAATAAATTTTCAATCATTTTTTTTAATTCATGGTGTATTTGGTATCAAATCAATATGTATTTAAATTTGTTGTGCCACAATGGAAGGTTTGTGGAGGGTAAAGAAGATTTTTTTTAATTCCCAATTTCCAAGTTATTTCTGTACACCTACACATGGTAGAGCTTACACAATTATATTTTGTCTTTGGAATCATAAACCCTATTTATTAAAACACATTTTCATTAAAACACATTTTCATTTTATTAATACATAATCCAGCTATATGCTGATTAAATATATTGTGGTAAAATTTTTGTTTTTAATTGAGTCAACTCACTTTCCTGCTAAAAATAACAGTCCTTGTGGGTCAAAGACGGTCAGATTATGATTATGAACATTTTACAAAGATAACCTTCAGGAGCATCAAAGGATTGATATGAGTACTCCAGTCTACACTAAGAAAGTATGTAAGAAAAATCCCACAACCACAGAATTAACTGTGCCACAACTAACCAATAATTCAAGGTCAGAAGTAAAGGTCATTTTAAGTCAGTGACCTTCACTTCATCATTGTGTGACATTAAAAACTTTAATGTCTGTAGAGGGCTCACTTCAAAATAATGCAAAATGTGCATTCTTTTCTACATCATAGAATCAGATAACATTTTTCTTTTTTAGAGACAAGTATCTGAGGCATAATCTTTCATAGATATAGTGCACTTCCTCAGGAATTACTGTGTAGACAAGAGCTTGTTCTCATTGGCTCAAGCTAATCTCTAAATTGATGCATGTCTTTTTGTTATTATTCTACAGACTAAGTACAGCTACTTACATTGCATTAATCAAGTATATCACTTTGCATTCATGTTATTAATACTATATATACTTGTTTCATTCTCATTCAACAAGAATTTCTTGGATATCTTGTTGGATAAACGACAGAAATTTAAGTCACATTTAGCAAAGCCATAGAGAAACCTCTTTGTTAAATGAAATATGTATCTGTGATGGAAACTACATAACTCATTGTAAGGATATCCTGTAGGGCAAACTGAATGTTGGCATAATGGACTGAACCAATGCCCTTGTGACTGGAGCACTTGCATGATTTCCACCTGGCAGTTACACTCTAATTTGTCATGTGTTGAATAAATTGGGAAACTAGATGTCATGAATGAAGGAGATCTGGTTAATTTCTAGTAGCATTCCACCACATACATTTACAATTATTATTAATCTCGATGCTGAGGTAAAAAAAACAAGAATATTTTATATATGCAGTCTGGTGAGCATCAAAGTGGGAAGCCATCAATTCTACCATTCAACATAAAAAAGAACAGAGGAAGTTTTAAAAACCAATGGAAAAGGACTGGATATGGAAGTCTAAATAGAAAGTAACAGTGACTGACCTTTTGACCTTTAGTTTAGTTTTGTAAAATTGAAATTATTAAATATAATTGAAACAAGACTGTAGTTATAAGATGTACTGCAGTTTGTATCTTGTTTCTTTTTACAGTTTTTTTTTTTATCCTCTGACTGGTTATAACAATGCCATTAGCCCAAATGAAACTTCACATTCATCAGGATGGCCTACTTACTGTTTATGGTCTGTCTGCTGCTAAAAAGATAAAATAAATGAGCGCAATAGTTGACAGCCTTGGCCTACCAGCCAGACTGAAAAAATGTTTTTCTCTTCAAACTAAGGCTTGTTATCTTATCTGGCAGGCAATTCCTGGAAATTGGATGGAGGAACTAGATTTCATAGGCCTATACTTTAATATTAAAGTGAAAAAAAATATTTAAAGACATAAATGACTATTGATAAAATAAATGCTTGCAGAATGTAAAAGACATATTAAGAAAATCAACTGAATTAATATTATTTACAATATATTTTGTCAGTAATATTTATTTTCTATTTATTATTACTTTTGTTGAGTACCATCAACAATATTTTTTTCTGGAATTGAACAAATGAACGTAACTCAATCTTGTAATATATATTCCAAATGAACATTTTCAAAAAAGTATTTATTTTCATGTTTTGTTTGAGTTTATTCATTCACACAATCATTGCTTCACTTATTACATCAATCACTCATCTATCTATATATCTGACAATTTGTTCATCCATTTCCATAAAAAAAACCTACCCTCCCCATCAACCCTCCAAAGTGCAAACCCTAGTCTGTCTTTGCCGAACACCACAAATCAATACAAAACAAACACCACAATATGCCACATTATGGGATTATGATAAAAATGGTATTCAAAATGCATACTACTTGATAACTCTCTGATCAGCATTTGGTGATATTATAATGCTATGCTGTGTTCAACCTCAAAATCCAAATTACGTATAGCAATTAGTATATTTTTAGTCTGTGAAGAGCGTCCAAACTAAAGATGATTTACTGCATAATATTGATATCATCACTTACCTGCGCAAATGGCGGCAACAATTCTGTTCTTCTTCTCCTGCTCTTTCAACATGGCACCAACACTTGCAGACTATCAGAAAATCAAAATAAGCAATGATTCCCTAAAATTTCTGTGATTGGTATTTCAGCATATGTAAAGACTTATTTAAATAAGATATGCATATTAATAATTTGATGATGAATATTAAATTGTATTTTTACCATACCTTGTTACTACTATCTACTGTACAATCTGACAAATGACATTAATTAGCAATGATATTTTATTTAAATTATAATTAAATTAATTTTCTTTAATGTTTAAATGAGCTTTATTGTCTTACCATATTTATTTGAATAAATACCCACTTTGAATAAATGGCCCACTTTGAATAAACTCCCCCTCCAGAGCCTCATTTGTAATAAATACCTCAATCAACCTGAGGCATTTATTTTTTCTTCAAATAAATGCCCCCTTAAGTGACTGTAAACAAATCTAATGGAAGCGACATCATTCTCAACACATTCTATAAAGTTCTACTCAAGTAGAATTACATTTTTTTTAACCTGGTTGGGATCAATATGACTTTATGATGACACAATAACACATTTTGACAGTAATTATGTGTTGCAGTTCCACATTTACAGTTAAATTAAGGGCATCTATTTGAGTATAGGTATCCGAATAAACGTCTCCCTCAGATGAACGCCCCCCCACCCCAGACAAAAACCTTTCTCGATAATCTGGGGAATTTATTCGAATATGGTTTTTTTTTGCATTTAACTTTGCATCCTGTAAAGCGTGTCATCCCCACAATGCTATTTACAATGTAATAGTAGGGCTATTCACATGTATTTTCTAATATTGGAAAAAATTTGTATGTATTATACATAAATTTTGTTTACCGGTATGTACCTACCTCGCACAAGTTCTTAGCACCAACTCCGCCACCAGGTAAAATGATAGCATCATATGGCCCCTGGGAAAAGAAGAATGTATATTTTGATTATGTTTTTCACATCCTTTTCTTAAAAGACAAGACAGATAAACTTTATTGCTCCAAAAAAGAAAATTTGTTTTAATGCATGAACACTTGAGCTTTATTGTACTGAAAAAATAAAGGTAGAATAGAAAAATAAAAAAAGTTAAAATAGTTTTTTACTTTTTATGTATGATAGATCTGAATCTAAATGTAATAAATCAAATCAAATTTAATCAATTTTCAGTGTTATTGGGAGTACACAGGTTTCTGACTGTGTGAAAAAATACATAGAAAATTTATCTGATGAACTCAATACCCTACCCTGCGACCAAAATTGAAGCCTGTTTTAACCACGGCCTACAGCTCTACATCATAACTGTAATTTTGGAGATGTTATCACTCCTATATTCACAGTATAGCTTACCTCCTTAGCTGCATCTTCTAAGCTTTTATCGGGCACTATCACAACATTTCTACTACATGTCACTGGAGCCAGGCCAGTGAGCCCAGCAACTGTGACATCAACCTGAAATTAAAGTAAAAAAATAAATTAAATGTTGCGGCAGAGTTTTGTTATGTTATGTAGCAGTACACACATAATGATATTGGATAGATATACAAATTAGCCTTAAGCACGTTCATGCAATTTAACCAACTAAAAAAATTAAAATAATTAAAAAAATTAAAATTAGAAAAAAAGTGTTAGGGTTATTATGGCTCACTGTAAAAACAAGCCTGCACATATATGCCACACAAAAATGAGCAATAGAATTTCTTCCACACATTTGAAAATGCGGTCTGATTTCTGTGCAAAGTTTGTAGAAAATTAGGCCTTGGCTGATGTCTCAACACATATTCAGTGGTGTAACGCCTATGGGCCTCTCACTGGCTAAAGCCAGGGGCCCCGGAGCCTCAAGGGGCCCCCAGCAAATTCAATTTATTATTTATTAAGAGAAAAAAATCATGACTACATCCACGAGAAACAAGAAATTAAACCATGAGCAATCTAAGCATTGACACATAAGTATGATACATATGTTTTTGTCCATAAATATTAATTGATTTTAATTGGGTCATTTTGTTTGGTATTTATTGTAATATGTTTATTAGTGATATCTTATTTAAAATTAAGTATGCTTTTTTTTGGATCAAATTATGATATTTAAACCTAGGATACAAATGTGTAAAAAATACATCGAAAAATAGCCTCGTTATCTTTATATCGCTATCAATTATAATGGTTCATTCCTAGATTGAATACTGTTTTATGGTATTAGGCGGCTAACAATGGTTGTGTTCCCCAAAAGTTTGTTTTTGTTTAAATCCAGGTATGCACACTGTTATGTAGCTATGCATTGATATTGTATTAACTGTTGTAATGGTATCGTGTAATAATGCTGTACATGAGTTACAAATGTATGATACAATAATGATGTACCTGTATTGAGACTGTAATTCTGCTGTTTTACAGGGGTTTTTTTGTTGTGTCGATGTGTGCACATCGACATATGATTGGTGATCGTGAATCTCTTAAACATTGAAGATTAAAAGAACCTTGAATGTTCATGGCTGTCGTTGTCTTGCTTGTTTGAACCTAAACTACCACAGATTTTGCCTCACTCCCACTCATCGGGTGCCCTTCACGGCCCCTGGTTCCCAGCATCTGGGCCCTAAAGGGCCGCTTCCCAGGGGCCTCCGGCCCCTTTGTTACGCCACTACATGTATTATGTGTTGCGTGATTGTTACGCCTGAGGGCGCTATACACTTTCTCTCCAACGTGGATACAGCATAATCCTATAGCACACGAATAGTACTCACAATAAATACTCATCTGAATAGTTATTATATGATTGAGTCTCCTTCTTTATATCGCTATCAATTATAATGGTTCATTCCTAGATTGAATACTGTTTTATGGTATTAGGCGGCTAACAATGGTTGTGTTCCCCAAAAGTTTGTTTTTGTTTAAATCCAGGTATGCACACTGTTATGTAGCTATGCATTGATATTGTATTAACTGTTGTAATGGTATCGTGTAATAATGCTGTACATGAGTTACAAATGTATGATACAATAATGATGTACCTGTATTGAGACTGTAATTCTGCTGTTTTACAGGGGTTTTTTTGTTGTGTCGATGTGTGCACATCGACATATGATTGGTGATCGTGAATCTCTTAAACATTGAAGATTAAAAGAACCTTGAATGTTCATGGCTGTCGTTGTCTTGCTTGTTTGAACCTAAACTACCACAGATTTTGCCTCACTCCCACTCATCGGGTGCCCTTCACGGCCCCTGGTTCCCAGCATCTGGGCCCTAAAGGGCCGCTTCCCAGGGGCCTCCGGCCCCTTTGTTACGCCACTACATGTATTATGCAATAGTTATACGCGTCAGTATCCTTCCATTTTAAATATAATATTTTATAGCGTGGAAACTCTTGATCTCATGTCTGGTTGGTTATCATCATAGTGTGTACATATTAGATAGCAGTATTTTCATTTGCCGACTTGCATCCTACTTTAGCGTCTTCGCCAATCAGTGTGCACCTTATACAGTCTTTCTTTTGCAGTGTATGGTAGATCCGTACCTCTAGCCATGGCAACAAGCTAAAACCTGCAGCCTGAGCAAAACCGTTGTTTTGTTTTCGGACTGTTAAATTTCACCTTGAATGTTTGCAAATACATGTGCAAATAGTTTATCTACTTGCCTTATTCTCCAGTGAGTACTAGGCCTAGTATGATGTATAGCATAGGGAGCAATAAAAAGTAAGCAAAATTATATGAAAAAATGTACAAAATATGGCGTCTAATAACAATCTACCAGAAGCCTAAGACTAGATAGGCCTATTGGTGAAGTGTTGCGCTGAACCGTCAACGGGTTGGACAAAATTCGAGCCTGGTCAAAAGCGGTCTGACCTAATTCATGTCATTTTAACGAACTTCAAATTTTATAATTCTATACCTCTGCTCTTCGTAAAACATCCACTGGGATGACAGTTTCAATTTCTTCAGCTCCATTCGCAAGAATCAACAGAGCTTTCATGATTTCCGTCTGCTTTCAGCGTACTGCTTTGCAGTCTACTTGTATCGACATCAAGATGAGAAAAATTCAAAACAACACACATGTGCGTTGACATTGCATCTCAACTTCCGGGACTAGGCATGGTGTCGTCTGCTATTTTTACTGAGGCGAAGAAACTACTTTTATTTATGATATATATATTTACGAAACGTCATATAATAATAACATAAGTTGAATTTATATTTATGTAGTGATTTAAAATGTATTTATTGTATCACAATAAACTACAACATATATTTACAAATGATTATAATATATTGTAACAGAACAAATTTCTTGGCCTTGATGACGTGGTTTTGTCGTTTAGAGCAGACAGAAACATGTCAGGAGGGATAAATTCCCAGCTACAGGATTACTTATCAAACTCTAAAAAAGGCAGCCAGTCTCCCACACAGTCCTCCTCTTTGCACTCTGTTAAGTCATGGATGTCATTCGGGAATTCTAAAGAGTCGTCCGCGAGAGACCAAGACAATGGTAATGATAACGGGTGGTATACCCAGGCCGCCGATGACCCTTTTTGCCCAACTCTGGTAAGACTACTAGGGCTAGGCCCTAGCCTAGGAGGTTAGGCCTAGATAGCTTTGATAGACTAGGCCTAGTAGACTGTGTTCTGTACGTGGTTTTAGAGTGCCAAGTATTTATATACCTTCTTTGTATTCCTTTATATTTAAGCAATTTAGTCAAGTTTTGATTTAAGACTGGTGTAGCCAAGAAGGGGCATAAAAAGGCCTAACTAGGCTAATTCGGCCTAGGGAGGCTAGCATACTAGGCCTCCTATATATAGTATTAATATTCCTAATTAAGCCAATTAATTTTTTTTTAAATGTCACAACCTTGTTTTAACATTTATGCAGAGTAAGCGGCAACGTTTTTTAGGCTTCTTTACTTTACTGTTGATGGGCGTCTTTTGCTTCGTCATGGCCGGTTTCATTGCTCCCTTCATTGTTCTAAAGTCAAGAAAATTTGCCCTACTCTACACTATGGGAAGTTTGTTTACTATTTCAAGGTAAGATACTGTACATCAATATACTGTACTACAATCATCATACATTCTTTGTCATTATTTATAATTATTTACCTACTGTACTTCATTATGCTATCACCACTGTGACTATAACACCTAAGGCGAGACTTTATTTATGCCTTTTTTAGTGAACCTGCTGCCCAACAATGATGATTTTGAATAAAAATCAAATTTTATTTTTGGCCAATTAGCGCACCCACTGCCACAAAAATCTGAAATTTCAGAAAAAATTAAAGTTATTATGCCTGCCGCAGCCGTAAAATTTCCATAAATAAGATATATATTTCTTCCTAGTTATATAAATTTAAAGCATTTAACCATCCCATTACTACACTGTTTACATTCACCAATAAATTTTATTTTTCTCCTCCGTTTGGATTTTTTTGGCAAAAACTACTGTATTTCCTAAATAAGAAAGGAAAATTGTATTCTTTTTCCTGAAATTTGTTTTTAGTTATGTTTTTTTTTTTTCATTAACTGAATAACATTCTTTTTCTTCTAAACTACAGTTTTTCATTACTTTGGGGTCCATGGGCCCATTTGAAACACCTCTGCTCAATCCAGCGTTTACCATTCACAGTTGCCTACTTCGGGACCATGACTGCGACTCTATATTTTGCCATGGTGGTAAGTCTCCTACCTTGTTAACTAGGTGTACGTGAAAACTTCTCACAATATTTTATAGTTACTGTATTTCATATTCTGTAGACAGAATCATTAATTTTTTTTTTAAATGAATTTGATATCTTTGGGGTTTTTTTTGCAGACCAAATCAGCTGGGTTAACTTCTATCTGTGCTATTTGCCAGGTTATAGCCCTTTGTTGGTATATCATCAGTTACATTCCTGGAGGACAAACAGGACTGACATTCTTTACCAAGTTATTCTCAGCAGCGGCTGGCAAGGCTGTGTCAAAGACATTGCCCGTTTGAAATTGAAAAACCTTACAAATTTAGGTACAGCCAAAGTGAACTCAAACCATACCCCAAGTGATATTAACCTGTTTTTTTAAATGAAACTGGAAGCATTCACATAAGGGAGATGGTACAGTGTCAGTAGCAGATTCGAGGTGGGAGGCCAGTCGGCCCGGGCCTTCCTACATTTTAAAAAATTATTATAAAAGTGGAGAGAAAAAGAAAATTATATCCAAATTTATGTCTAAGAGTGCCATTTCCGGTCATGTAGAGGTGCCATAATCATCAATTTTCTTTCCTCAGCCCCAACCCTCTGTGAAAATCTCTCCCTAGGCCCCCTCTATTTGGAATTCCTGGATCCGCTACCCCATTCATGCTTGGAGTGGAGGCATGCCTCATTGTGTATTTAAATTACTAATAGGAAGTTGAAAATATCCTGTAACCTACAGGGTGTAGAACATATTGCGTCGACAGGCACTATGATTCCGAGACTGCGACACAACATATGCAATGGATAGTTTTCAACATCAGTCAAGATGTTCAGAAGAATGACAATCAGAAGGAGCGCAAATTTGATGGGCAAGGCTTACAGAAGTGAATGCCTAATTTTACACTGAAACTATATGGCCTTTGAGCTTGGCTTGAAACTATGTACAGAGATGAAACTGTAGATCAAGGCAAATGCAGTACAGTAATAAGTTTTAATGTGAATAGTAAAATATTGTATATGTCCTCTGATTGAGAACTATGTGTACTGTTAGGCTGTACATATTGTTTGTGGGCAATTTTCTTTGTAGCCACAGTATTGAATGCATTTATACAGAATCCCACCAATGGGTCTTCAAGAATGCGTTAGAAATTCTTTGTATTATAAATCTTGTTATGGGTTTGGGCTTAATAATATCCTACAAACAGTCATGGGCAAATAATCAGTTTTTAATGTACATATTAAAATATATTTAATATTTGATAATGACTAAATAATTTGTTGGTTTACTTTTTCTTTTGCATCCTGTTTGTCTGTTCTATTTCAATTAAGTAATATTTATTGCTTTCCATGAAGTAATTACAAAGAAAAGACAAAATATGATTTAGAAGGTACAAAAAATAACAACAAAAACAGGATCAAAAAACATCAAAAACACACATCACCATTCATGAAATTAAACATGGAAAGTAGAGGATGGCCCTTTAAGCCTGATGGCTGTTTCAGCAGGGGTCCCCAAATAATAATTATATATTGTAATTTTTAAAGTAGAAATAATAATACAGTAATAATAATAAAAATTAAAAAAAATACTACCATAAATGCTCGGATAAGCGCCGCACCAAACATGATTTTTTTTTGTTAAGCGCTGCTCGGCGCTTAATTGAGAGTATATTATATTACACTGTGTGTAATGAAACAGGGTTTTAAATACAATGTATACAGTGTTAAAATGAATAACTAAAACAATGAAGACACAAGCATTTCTTTATAAACGTTTGTTTACGATGATAGGACCTATGATATGCCTACTGAACTACGGGAATATGGGAAATAGGTTACATGGGAACAGGCATGGAAAGCACCACGCCAATATTTTTGTGCCGCTCTCAAATAAGCGGAACTTTCGAGTTACAGTAATAGTAATAATAACAAAAACAACAATAAAATAATTGCAATATGGAAATTTAAACATTGGCAATAAAAAGGTAATACAGATATAAAAGTAATAATAATAATAACTACTGTATAAGAAAAATGATGATTGCTACTATTTCAGTCATAAAAACATGCATGTTGGTAAACCTTCAGACAACAGGCTTTAAATTCTTTTTTATCCCCCTCGAAATCTGCACTTGAAGACCCCAGTTTCTCCCACTTCACTGCAGCCATCAACCTCTTGAATTTTGCTTGTTACATGAAAGTCATAAAAACATAAACCGCAATAGATACACAAGTAAATTATTTTTTTATTCCACGATAACTCTTCCAATCTCTACATTTTCCATATAAATGCCCTACAAAGATTTCTCTGGAGAGATTTTAAATGTTTTCATAAGTGCTCTTGTGTATATGAAAAGTGAATCGCTGCACTCAGGCCAGTAACCCAGGGGGACATCAGAAGATCCCCCATTGAATTAAGAGTTCTGCATATTATTGGAATGGGGTAAAATAAAGTGTTTTATTACCGCGTGTAACGGAATGTGCAGTCAAATTTTCACACATTCTAAACTGATGCCCCTCATTGCTCATGCTGGTTACAAGCCTGACTCTAATGTATCAATTGATTTTTTTTTCATGGTACAAAGTAGAAGCAAGATAAAGCAATATTTGTACAAAAAGTAGGCAAAATGAGTGAAAGTACATCATTAATAACAGTTCAATTCAACCAATAGAGTATCTGGGAAGGTGCACTCAGTCCCCCACAAAAATCACGCTGAAGTAGTTAAAAATTACCTTATTTTGGGAGTTAACGCCCCTCACCTAATCGAGCCCCCATGTGACTTTGCCCTCCCATCATCCCCCCATTTGAAGATTCTTAGATATACCACTCAATCTAACCAAACTAAGAATAACATGAAAGAAACTGTAAAACACTTAAATATATTGCATCATTTTCTTACTAAATAAAAAGCAAGTGAATTATCGAAAGCCAACATCAACAAGGTGATACAACAGCATGAGGTCCATATTTAGGTCTAAAGGTCAACAGTTCAACAATAATCATGAGGTCATTATGCTGCTAAGGTAGTCGACAGCTCTTGGTCAATAGCATAGAAACATAGGATGGGGAAACTTTGAGAGCTTTTATAGAGCCCAACAAAACTGGTGAATAATGGGTCAATAGGTCAAGTACATAGTTTAATAATGCAATATTCTACTATTTTTTATACTACAAATACCCAGCAGCAAATTTGGAGTCCAATAGAAATAATACACACAGACTATTTACAAAAACTACACAATTTTACACATCTGCTTACAGGGTAGGAAAAGTTCAGAAACACCTCTACAATTCGCTCAAGATTTAGGCTCTGTATCATGTATTTTGAAAAAAAATCTTGAAATCTACAGACCATTACATCAACACTTAGTTTAAATGGTCCAGGTTAATTATGATGGAAAATCCATTACAATAATTGGCTGTTAAGCTTCTATAAAGACTATTTCATATAGAATATTAAATATTTAACAATTAAGTAACATTTCTAAAAAAAAACTATACTGTAACTACAAGGAAGATTTTGAAAGAAACTTCCATCAACTGCTTTTTTTTTTATAGCAAAAGTATGCATAAACATGTTTTATAAAAATAAGAATATACTGAATATTTATCATATACTTTTAAAAATCTCCGAATAATATACCATATACCCTTAGTATATAAATCTCTCCACAACTAAGGTCAAACGAAAGAGTGATTCTTTATAGGCCACATCATGACAAGGCGCACACGAAATATTGTTTTCAACGACAATCTGCTTAGACTGCCACTGACACAATCAAGCGACAATGTCGCATCATGAAGCACTTACATAGATTCGGTGTGCACCCAGCCAAAGAGGTATGGTAAAAATAAGCTGTTATTAATTAACTCGCATAAGTTACCCTTAGCAGCTCATCTAAACTTACCCTCAAGTGACACCAAGAATATTTACTACTGTATTATCATCATTACTGAGGCTAGAAGGTTGCACTTTGTGCACGTTTGCCAATTTTTGTATTCAATGACCAGTGGTAATAATGTTGTGTGCATTTTGCATTCCTTGGCAAAAGGCATGGTATAAATTCCTACTTCATCATTATTATTTCAGTTTTCGTTGTTTTTTAAGTATATGACTTTTCATTATTTTAATGCAAAAAGTAACCAGATGTATCGTATTCCCATTATATAATTTTTTCCCCCGTTTTTTTTGGTCCGAAGACTTGTGGCCAATGGGGAGTATGGCCTTTCCCATGTTCCCACCTGTACCGCCAATTGCGGAATGCCCATATTAGGTACAACCTCACTTTGGTATTGAGCCTATAGTAATCGCAATAATGTTTTGATAATATAAAATATATATATATATATATATATAAATTTATCTCTAAACCACTCAACATTTTTACTCTAATGATATAACCACAACTGGCTATAGAAAGCGTTCATTTAATCCTTAATATAAGAAAGAATATAGATACCCTTTGCAAAATATTTTAATTAAATCCCTTACACAAAACATAAAAAAACCAAAACAGTACCAAAAAAATAAAAAATAAAATAAAAAAATTACAGGGATGATTTTTTAATACTTTGTCTTAGTATGTTCACTCAATGTTAATGTAAACTTTTGACTTGACTACTTCTGGAGTCCACCGGCCAACGTGAAGTAACTTTCCCGTTTAGCCATCAACTCGTCATGGGTTCCCATTTCAATGACCTTGCCGTCATCTATGACAGCGATAGCATCCGAGTTCTGGATTGTGGACAGTCTGTGGGCGATAACGATGCATGTACGCCCCTCTTTAGCACGGTCAATTGCCTCTTGTACAACCTGTCAAAGAGAATGAGAATATCTTCATTGTTACACATAGCTTTGGGAATAGGACTGCTGCAAAAGTATCAGAAAGAGTTTTCTGAAGTAGAGTGTGCCTGCACACAGCATAATTTGGTGATCATAGTATCATTTCATCGGTTACCAATTTATGGAACAATCTACAACACTCAACTAAAACTTGTCTGAACCATAACAAAACAACATCTTCTGGTTCAAAGATACCTCTAGGCTCTTAAAATTTCTAACCAAATATTTCTTTTAAGTAAAAAGCCAAAGAACAAATCCTGAATTTAGCCCTTCGTTTAGCATGGCTGTCTTGTAACTTAAGTATGTAAGTATTTTTCAAATCGTAACTAATGACACATCTTGTTTTTTCTTTTTTAGCATATGTCAGTATAGGCCAACACATCCCTGAAAAAAAACTAGAGTGAAGTTATTTATCGTGATTACTGAAAAAACTAAATTGAAGTTATTTATCGTGATTACTGACCTTCTCACTCTCTGTGTCTAAAGCAGAAGTGGCCTCGTCTAGGAGCAGGATTTTTGGGTTCCTAAGCAGAGCTCTAGCAATGGCTACTCTTTGCTTCTGCCCTCCTGACAACTGGGTTCCCTTCTCACCTACAGACGTTTCATATCCCTGTAAAAATAATCACCAGGAATTAATATAAAAATACAAAGTAAAAAATATGACTGACCCTATATAGACAAGAAGGGAAGAGTTTAGGAGCAGTAACAAACTTTGATGCAAGAATGACAGAGTTTGCAAGTGCCAACGCCATTCTTGTGTAAAGAACTTTGCTCATCCTTTAGAGGGACATTAAACTGATGGTACTGTGTGTATATACAAAGAACATTTTATAAGAGTAATGGATTGTCTCCCAGTGTTTTGACCCGCTTAGGCAGTGCTCTGTGGCCCCAGATGCTAGTTGTTCTATTTGTACAGAGCCACTGTGGAAAACAGTGATGTGAGATATGCCCATGTGCAACACAAAACACCATTTTAACGGTCCAATAATTTAAAATAAGTGCTGCTCTGAAATAGGCGCCTCTTCAAAATAGGCACATCAGTGTAGCCCTCAAAAAATTGTATTAAACTCCATTATAACAACTAAATAGATCCCTGTCATTTGATTGGTGGATTACGTATCACTTGCTTAGTGACATCCATGCATTTTCTTTCTATCTGTTTTTGCCCATTGTACGGTGCCTAAGATATGACTTCAACCTAATACAATCTTTTGATTGGTTAAAAATGGACTGTCCTATTCAGAAAAAGGGTAGATTTTTTTCATAAAATATAAAATGACAAGAATCTCCATTCAGAAAACCAGAGCCTTGCAGGTGTCAACATTCCTATGCATGTTAAGTGACTTAAAAAGTGTATGTATATATATATACATATATATATATATATATATGTATATATATATATATATATACATACATATACATATATATATATACACAAATATAATATATATACAAATACATATATATATATATATACATACATATATATATACATATGTGGCAAAGACAAGCCAAACCAGCCACTCGTCGCAAATCTTGTTTCAGAGAAAATGGCTAAAAATGCTGGAATGTCAAATTTTAAAAAATCTATTTTATTGTATTAAACTAACCTTTATATATCTACACATCATTCTATGTTGTTATTTTATTTTCCCCATTTTCAATGTTAAAACAACACTTTTTAAGGATTTAAAGATAGTTTCTGCATGAGAAATGCCTGAAATCA